AAAGAGCTTGCTTTCAACCTCAAAAGCTAGGAGGAAAGGGCTCTGAAATTTGCTCAGTATTCCCAATTCACCATTAGCCTGTTTCTTCCTTTAGCCTCAAGGCATTCTCCGCTTTTTGAAAAGATGTTAAGAAATTCAGTCACAATAGAGAGCCTAGTTTTGAACATGTTTCACTCGGTCCATTGAGGTCTGGTCTTCAGCCTTTGTGTGGGGTGAATTGAGCTGAGCAGCAAGCTGGTTGGGGAGAGGTGAATGAGCAGTCTCTGTGCAGTCACAAATTCTGGCAAAGAAAAGATTACCCTTTCCTTTATTTTACAATATGCATTCCTGTACAATCCTGCTAGTGGCAATATGCGGAGCCGAGCTTGTGCTTAGGTCAATATGGAGCACTTGGTTTATAGCAACTCTTGTTAAGTTTGTCTTGTAATTGAAGCTGCTGTTGACCTTGCTTGGAGACCATTTGTAAAACCGTTTATTTAGCATAAACTGAAATAATAAACCCTCCTTCTCTTAGGCCGATTGTGATAGGGTGACATTAGTTTGATTTAATGATTAGCCGCCTGACCCCTCAGCTAGAGAGAGCTGCTTGAATAGGGAGAGTTCACTAGGAAGCACACAGGAAGAATACTAATGAGCTTGTTAAATTTAGCATGGCACCAACCACTTTTAATTCCTCTAATGGGAGAAGCACTGCCTCTGAGAGAGAGGGAGGGAGATAGCGGGGGGGTGGGGGGGGGGTGAAAGAGAGGAAGAGAGAGGGAGGAATGCCCACATCCCGGTAGCCAGAGAATTTTGGTCAAGGGAAGAGCTTGGAGGGAGCGTCATCTGGGGTCTCTTGGACTGAGTTGTAAGTACCTTGTCTCTTCTCTTACCCAGCCGAAGTGCGTCGGCAAGATCGCTCATGAGACAGTAATGCTCTCCGCAAGTTGCATGCAGAAATGCGGTGATGAAACTTAATACATAAACAGATTTAACTGGGCTGGTGGTGTCTGGTTTAAGCGGGAGTCTCTCTGAAGTGTGTTGAGACTGCTTTTCAGCGTGGTGTATCAATAGATTTCCACTTTTTTTTAGTTGCTGACTTTAAGAGGTTTAAAGTAAAAAAGCTTCTACTTCGTCTTGGTCTACAGTTAAAAATAAGAGCAAAAAAAGTTCAACAGGGAAAGAAAACTTAATGGATTTTTGCATTAGGCTTTGGTTTGTCCTCATTTTTAATTTTCTGGGTAAATTAGCTGAGCAATTAAAAGTGAGTTTATTCAGTCATGCTGTCCAGTGTGAGTTTTTTGAAAAAGCTTGTTGATTAAATGAGGTGCTCCTTGGTGCTCAGCACTTCTAACAAAAACTGCTTCTGATCAGAACAGCAGGACTAAATTGGGTATTTTTCAGTGGATGGGAGAACCTTGGATTAACGTGATCGTTCCAGGCTGGGCACTTGTAACACGTGTCTCTGGCTACTGGTTTGTGAAGACAGAGTAGGGTATACATGAAGAAAGAGAAGCTTATGCAGATTGCTCTTGGGGCCTGATTACTTTTTCTCTTTTTTCCTTTTCTTATTTAATCCCTCTCTCTTACACCCGCAAAAGGTGGGATGAACTATGCTGGCATCAGCCGGGTCCCACCAGTGGGAAGCAGGTGGAGATGAGGGAGGATCAGTTCCTTTAACTTCGGCACTCGCCTCTCTGCAAGATTTTAGTAAATCGGATCTTTCTTTTGACCCTAAAGCCGGCCACTTCCAAAACGTGAGCAGAGCAGTAACAGTTGTCGTGCATTTGGCTGTGAACCCCTTTGGCAGATGCTGCCGGAGAAGTAGGCTGTTTGCTTACATTTTTGCTATAGAGTCCCACTTGTTGCCATGGTGGACAGTATGTTTCTGTCAATAATTTGGCCTGGCGCGGCTTGCCTGCACTTACTCTTAAAACTTTATTGAACGATTCAGCTGAAACAGAACAAGACGAGACAGCTTTTGCCTTTTGGCGCACTGGAGTGGCTCGCCTGCCCTTGTGAGAGTCGGTAGCATTACTCCAAGAGGAGTTTCCCGCTCGGTGCCCGGGGAGCTCCTGCAAACCGCTCGCCTGTTCGTGTCCTGGAGCGCAGGTGCTGTCAAGTGTCTCACCTGCCCCCTACCAAAAGCAGCTCAGTGCTGCGGAGCGTGAAGTAAACGCTTAGCGAGATGCTTGGCTGTTGAATATGCCTTACTATTGCAAAAATGCTGTCATGTTTACTTTAAAAAAGAAAAAACAAAAAAACTTCTGGGGAGATTTTTACATGGCAGACAGCGTACAGAAACATTTGACTTCTAACAGCACGCGGCAGTAATTTCATAATGGAGAGAGAGACGGTTTGATGCAGAAGGAAAAATACTGCTTTTTCATTTTCTTTCCTTTTTCCCTTGAGGAACCAAAAAAAGAGGAAAGCTTATTAAAACAAAACACATTTTTCCTTTCATTTCAAAGTTACTGAAAGTAGGTTTTGAATTTCATTCAGCAATTTGGAAAATCAGCTTGTTCCATAGCAGTCACTAGTACCTTGATTCATGACACATGCATGTTTTGAGAAGGAAAGAATAAAAGTGGAGCCTGCAGACAGACGTCAGCTTCTTGTTGTATCCCAGGATGGCAGTTTTAACAAATATTATCTTTATATGGAAAAGTAAAAGAACTGAAATCCTATCTGATCCTCGGATTGATTATACAGCCCCACAAATCACTCCAGCTTGCTTCTTTCTGTACTGTGGTAGCCCAGGTTAGCTTGCTCTGCTTAAGGGTCTGTCAGGATTTCAAATAGAGTGTAATCCCCTATTTTTACAAGAGTTTACATCTCATCAGTGAAAGTTCACTCTAGGTTGAAATTTAACATAAAAGACTCCAGCTAGAGAGAAACGTGATGGAAAATATGACTTTGGGGTGATTTTTTTTTTTTTTTTTTTACTTATACAAGCGGCTTTCTAAAAACCTCATATAAGTTTTAAAGTTTTAGACTCCCTTTTGCAGTTCTCTAACTAAAACCAGCTTCGGTGTAAAAAGTTGAAACCTTAAACCCTGCTAATCCAGAGCAGGGACCGATGCCTGTGCATATTAATAAAAAGTAGAAAAGGGCAAAGGGTTTAAACTCTGCAGTGTTGTTGTCAGTTTCCATTAACTCTTTCTCCTCAGACCCAATCCTGGAAATGCTCTATATGGAGAATTACTGCTGGCTGTAAAAAGAATTCAGTCCCTGGAAGATGCTGATAAGTCAGCAGACCCCGGTTGCTGTAATACTTGGAGATAGAAAAATAATTAAGCACTCAATAGGCTACGCTGCTGGGTTTTCTTCTTCTTGTTAGGAGGAGAGGGGGCAGGGAGAATAGCAAGCACTACATTCAAAGCAACGGTGTAGCTAGATTATGCATATATTGGCTAAAATTCAGGTTCAGGTATCTCTATGTACAGAGCCTGTTTCTAACATAACTCATGTGAAGGCAAATAGGTTGAGTTATGCTGGTGTCAGGCTTGGTGAACATAGTCTCCTGGTGAATTGCTCACTGGTGCTTTTGCTGTGTGAACGAGTACAGCAGGGCAAGGTACAAGTAAAAATTTAGCCCTGATCTCAAATCTCTGACAACTGAAGTGCAATCTTGGCACTGTTGTCAGTGAGCCTTCCTTGCATGTGGTTTGTAGAGTAAGCGTGTTATTAGTTTTATTTCCTAAGGGTGTTCTAATTTCCTTTCTAGTTACCTTTTTTGTGCCTGGTGTTTAATAATACGAGGTTCCTCATGCACTTATAGAACCGCTGAGCAACTTTTGAAGCTAGGCATATTTATCAGTACTTCTTCAAGACGTATTGGTGTATGCCTGTATGTGCAGGGTGGTTGACTGAACAAGGCTGTACCTGGAGTGTGTGTATGGGCCAGGATTACAGCCAGCAATAGCGCTTGTTTAGAGAAAAGTCTCTGTATTTTAATGCAATAATGCAACTTTAGGAGAGCATTTACAGTAGAGACTTTTGTAGCCAACAAAACCCCTCCGCAACATGGCACGTGTGAAACATGCCCAGGAACGTGCATCTGGCTTTTGAAGAGCAGAACTGCTTGGCCTGGTGTTCGAAGGGTGCACGTGGTCCGTAGGTGATAAAATTCACGTGGGAGCAGAGGGTTGGTCCAACACCCGGTCCTGGGGCTGCCTGCAAGGGAGGCTGGTGGAGCTATCGCCAGGAGGCCCTTTTCCCCTCACAAATGGTACCACAGGCCTAGAGGTTTACTCCAGAATAGGGCTTGGGTTTGATCCTCCTAATTTTTTTTTTTTTTTTCCCCCCCTTGGTCATTAAGAATTTGTGGGTTTGTACGTGTGGGTGTGGGGAAAAGGGAGGGGGGAGCATGCTCCGCCACCCTCCACTTGCGTCCTTGTGGTGACACTCTTTGGGCGGGTGGCCTCACTTGCGCCTGCCTGATGCCGCTGGTGCTGTATCTTGAGCAATTTTACCCGTTTCGTTGTTGCCCACCTTCCTTGTGATTGCTAACGACCTTCCTGCAAGGCTCCAGCCTCTCACACAAGCAAACCTCCAGGGACTGGAGCCGGGCTGCGGAGCGGCAGTGGGTGGCTAGGTTTGATTTAGGCCCAGCCAGCGGGGTTCATCTTCTCCTCTTTGTGACAAATTGTTTTTTGCCTCCCTGTCAGGCAGCCCGAACTCCCAGTCTCCTTGTGCCAGAGGCAAGAAAACAGCAAGACTGTGTCTGTTCTCACACGATTGATAGCCCCGCCGGTAGGAGCATCGGCGCATGGGTGACGGTGATCTACCGCTCGGCAGCTGCCCGCTCCGAACGGGCGGGCTTCCCCAGGCCATCTCTCATAGCCACACATGCACCTACTGTCACAAACTTACGCTGGGAGGAGGGGGTGCTGAGGAGGAGGGGGTGCGTGTGGGGGGAACTTTTCTTTATCGTATTTGCTATAAATGGGCTAAAAGTGTGCGCCTCTCTTTCTCCTTCCCTTCTCTCTTTCTTCTCCCTCGTTTTTTTTGCAGAGGATGAAAGTCCTGGGCAGACCTATCACAGAGAGAGAAGGAACGCGATCACAATGCAGCCGCAGGGTGGGCAAGGCCTCGGCAAGATCAGTGAAGAGCCTTCCACGTCGAGCGAGGAAAGGGCCTCATTAATCAAGAAGGAGATCCATGGATCTATATCACACCTTCCCGAACCTTCTGTACCTTACCGCGGGACGCTCTTTACCATGGACCCCCGAAACGGTTACATGGACCCTCATTACCGTGAGTAGCGATTGCTGGTTCGTTTGGGGATGCAAAGTTGGAAGGCTGTCAAGGCCGTCAAATTTAATGCAATTTTGTTTGTCGCCTTGCATCGTCCCCAGGGAGAACTGCTTTGTCGGGTGGTGGTGGTGGTGGGGTTTGAGGTAATACGATCTTTTTTCTGAAGTTAAAAACCAGGGGGCAATCGCATTGCAGCTCAAAATTATCACAGGCCTCTGCAAAGCAACTTCCACAGGACATCTCATCTGTTGCTAATCCTCCTCAGCCATCCAGGGTTGCATTTGCTCCACCTCCTTAATGCATGAAGAAAAAAAGCCTCATTAAAGAAAGCACAGAAGGAAAATGAAACAGGCCTTAAAATCCCTCTTTTAAAACAATGTTAAAGTACGGTATGAAGATGAGGAAGGACCGTGCCTTGTACAATGAGAATTTGGAGGGGGGGGCTTGGGAAGTTTATTGCTGTGTTTTGGGGGTTTTTGTTTTGTTTTGGAGGTTTTTAGGGATTCACGTGTGTGTTTGAGTATGTGGGCTGACGGAGTGGTTTTGCAATTTTCTTCTCCGGCTACACTTCCCTGAAGTTGTAGTGGGGGGGGGAAGGCAAATGGTTTCAACTTCTGAATTCCTGCTCAGGCATTAATAAAAAAGTAAGAAATTAACTGACACTTGAACACAGATGTGGAATGGATTTCTCCACAGGCAAAATATGAGGGAGTTAAGCAATTTTTTTCATCTGCTTCTAGTTTACAAAAAAAGAAAGAGAAAAAAAATCATTTAGTTGTGTAGTAATGAAGTACATCTTGAGGTGTCAAGGCTTGTGCCTTTTGATTATAGATTTATCACCCAGTCAGGATACAGATTTGCCATTTAACCTTCAAGTCTCCAGTTCCAGATGATATGCTTAAGACCCACAAAGAGGAGCCAGTCTGCACTGGGTTTGGGGTTTTTTTTTCCCACATCATTCAGAAATTTTAGTGTTTTAAGGCAAAAGGTCATTAGCCAGATGACTGATTAGTGAGGACAGCTGATTAGTGCATGTTTTTTTGCTAAAGCAAGTGCCAGGGATAAAAGCTAATTTTATCCCTTCATTAGTTGGGCTAGCAGCAAAGGGGAATGTTCACTCATCAGGGTGCAGATCAAAGTATGTCTCGCACAACCTTAAGTCTCACCAACCTCCTTTAAAAAAAAAGAAAAAAAGAGCCTGATTGTTAATAAGGATGGAGGTATTATCAGAAAATGAACACTTGTTGTCTTTAGAGTTTAGATCAGTATTTAGGGGAAAGTTTGCAGTTAAGCTTTTGAGCTGTCTTCCAGTGTAGGCAGTCAGTTTCTGTACACCCTCCTCCTCCTCTCTCACACAGCCCTGCTCAAACCCTCTGGGGGAGTTACTCATCTTTCTGCTGAGGAGGATGTGCTGCAGCACACCAGCAGCAGACTTGTTTGCCAGAGGGGCATGAATGTGCAGAGCAAACGACCGCTCACGGGCAGCGGTGTGTGGAAATACTAGCTTGTGGGTTGGAGACGCCATTCGTAGTTTACGGTTTGTTAATGCAACCCCTGAATTGCACTTAAAAAAAAAAAAAATCTAATCTTAATCGGGGAAGCAAAATAGCTTCTCTGTTTGTAGGCAGTACAGCTGGGGAGAGATGAAATGTGCAACAAAAACAACCCTACAAACAAGCAGCAAACGTTATGCTGAATTTAGTGATGACGATTGCCATTTTGACCATCTAACCGGCTGCCAGCTCACCCCTTAAATCTAGTTCAAAGCATTCTTGATTCTACTGCAGATTCAGACTGAAGAAAAAGGGCTGGCCGGTCAGAATGAGTCTGAGTGGTTTGCATTTAGTTTACTTAGTTTTATTTTATTGAATTTGCCTTTATGACGAGAGTTCTCAAGATTTAATGGAGCTACTATGTCTGTATTGTGACCAATAACGCTAGCTAGTTAGGATGCGTGGGCTACTAGAAAAACATTGATGTCAGAAGTTGAGAGAACAGCAGCAGTTATCTAGCGTGTAACAGTAGAGAAACAGGAGATGAGTTAATTTTAAATGAGCAACGTGGTCTTAAAGCAGAAGTCTAAGTCAGAAAACATCAGATGGGAAGACCTGCTTCACCGCTGCTGTAGCAAGTTGTACTTTTGTACTCACTGATTTATAAAATCCCTCAAGCTATTAATGTCATATAAAGAGCCATCATGCTTTTATTTACTTTTAATAGATGTGATACAGAAGGACAACTAAAGATACAAATGTCTGCTGAGATTTATAGGAAGGCAGACAGGCTTACTGAAATTTTCATCGTAGTTGTATCATTTATATATGTAAGACATGCTTTCCTCAAAGTGGTGACTGTATTCAGGCTGACACTTATAGTGGTCCATATGAGGAAGGCTGAATAATGTAAACATACCCCACTCCCACTGTAGCAACAAGTGAAGAACCAGCAAGGCTATCGTTCCCTTCCCTAGTTTCTTGCCAGTTTTGCTGGGCATATGGATAGAAAATACTGTTTTAATTCAACATAGTCGGGTATGTAAACACTCACAGTAATTCCTTAGTTTCCCTGTGGTTGGAAAATACAGACTTTTCAAGATGCCTAATTTGTGCTTCTATTTATACCCACTTTGTATTTAAAAGTGTGGGCAGGCTTCCTGTAACACAGGAAAAGGGAAAATAATTTTTTTGAAGAAGAACATCTGTATATTTTTATGGCAAGAAAAGAAAAAGAGCATTTAAGTCAATTGTGTGTGGAACGCATGTCCCCTCCAGGAGCTGCAGTTATTAGAAACAACTTGAATGCTTTGCATTTCTGTATGTAAATATGCGTGTGTCTGTGTATGTGTGTTGCAGGATTTTTTGTTGTTATAATTTTTTTCCTAATTAAAATGACTGATGTTGTAAATGTTGGAAATAATAGTTACCATATACGTGGAATAAATACCTCATTGAGGGGGAGTTTGCTCTCCTGCAGAGTGTGGGTGGGGATAATGGTTGTGTTTCAAGTGGACCAGCTTTTCAAACAGCTGGGATGAAACATGCTATGGAGCTGGCGGCCCTTCTGCACTGCCAGAGAGCCCCTCAACCACTTAGCAACTGAGATGAGAGTGGCCTCGTGCTCAGCCCACAGCCCTCTGTCCTTCAAGAGATAAAAGGGAAAACATACGGGCCTAAACCAGAAATTTTTGTTTTCTGTCTTTTTTTGTGGTGGATTTCTTAAGCACTGTTTAAACAGTGCTCACGAAGTTTGGGGGGGGGTGTGTGTTTGCTTTTTTAACTTTTTAAGAACTTTTCTTTTTAAAAGCTTTAGGGCAGATGACAAAAATGCTGGAGTTTCCTTTCATGTGTTGCACCTTTATTGAGGAGAGCAGGTTACTGAGATTAATCACAATGTTTTCTTAAATGGATTTAAAACCCTGTGTTTCTCAAACACTGATTGCAGTGGTAGTTGGAGCCCCTTGTTAATGTAAATTCTGTCTCTAGAGGTGGGGCTGAGCTAGGGGAGGTGGGGATAGCAACTTCCCTTTGTTATTCTATTCCCCAGTTTTAATTCCCACGCAGATTTATGGCAGTGCTAAGACTGCCTGTCTCACAAGTCATTCCTCATGGAAAAAATGAATCATTCCTGATGTAAACACTTTGATTTAAAACATGCTGCTGGTATTCTTCCCTGGGTTTCACAGCTCATCTGAAAGAATTGTTAGTTCCTAATTAGTAAAGCCTGAAGAATTATCTTAAGTAAAAAGCAGTGACAGTTCAGTTGGCTCTGATCTAAAAATTTGTATATACAGGAATGGCCCTGGCAGGATTGTCTGTCTGGTACTTCCCTTCATCTCGAAGAGGTTGCATGGAAAGTAGCTGAAAGCAGGAACTCAGTCTTTCTCTTTTTTTTCCTTACTGGGGATTTATTCTGCTGGTTTTGAAGCTTCTGTATCTATCTGGGGAAGTGGGAACTGCTTATTGCACATTTCATAGGATTAACCCTCCAAAGGTATTGATTGCCCTCAGTTCCCACTGACTGTGCCTGGACTTGTGCTTTGTAAGGATCGAGCCCCTCATAACTGCCCGGGTTAGATTACCCAGTGTTAGTGTCATCTCAAAATCAATTTGCAATGTGAACAAAAGACCGCAGCAAGGAAAATACAGTGCTGGTTCACTAGGTGCACTTGTTCATTTACTGTGTTTTAATTTCTATTGACAAGAATTCCCCTTCCTTCATCTCCCCATAGAAAAGGAAAAGGGAGGCAAAAAAAAAAAAAAAAAAGGAAATTAGATTTTGTTTCTGCAAATGCAAACTGGTAACCAGAAACACTGCCTTAAAATGCAATAATTAGAAAGCAACAGTCTTTTCATGGCAACCTGGCTGGAACCACGATGGCCAGCTATGTGCGGTGCATTGGACAGTGAGAGCAGTCCAGGTCGCCACCAGCAGATGAGCTCATGGAAGGGGGTCTCCATTTGCTTTGTAGAGGGGGGAGCCAGTGGCCTCCCTTGTCCTCTCCCTGGCACATTTTGGGACTCTGGAGGGACAGCCAAGACACTTTTGGATAGTCCCAAAGTAGGCACTTTCCTTAGCTCACCTCTAGCTTCCCAGCATCACTGGGTGGCAGGAGCCCCGGGGCAACTTTTTATAGAGGGATTCCCCCCAGCCTTGTTGGAGAGCTGTAGGAGAGTGTCAGTGAGGAATCCTTGTAGAGATTTAGGGCTGGGGTCTTTAAAGACATTTAGGGGCTCTTCACTTTCAAAGTGAGTTTGGCCTCTTAAATACCTCTGGAAATCTGGGTCCTACTTCTTCAGCTTTTTCTGCAGCATTTTGCAGGGGAGGGGCTTAAGCACTCTAGTAACAAAACTCTTTGCTGACAGTGATTTATGGGGTGGTTTCCAAATGTTGTCAAGGAGGCGTAGTTGGAAAAAGTAAAATCTAAAGCTTTTAATAAAACTCACAGAAAAAAAAAGCCTCTAATACAAAAGTGAATGTCAGATTACTGATGTCAGCTGAGC